CTCGCCACGTATTACATCACTGGGATTGCTTCAGAAGGATGAGGCAGCTTCACCTAAAGCCCAGAGTTGTTGAGCAGGGACACGAGCTGGTGGCTGCACCCAACTCTGCTCGTTTCCAGCCGCTCTTATCCAAAACTGTGTTCCCTCAACTGCAACCCGTAACGCTCCAGAGAGCACCTGCCACTGGCCATATATCCCCAGCAGCACCAGACTGCACTCCTGTGCCTTACTGGGTTGCGCTACGTGGGGGAAAAGCAAAGAGTACTTGGGAGCAAATGTTTGCTCTCCAGACCACGAGCCACTTTGCTCTTCATTTCCTGGTGGGTGGGGAGGAGAAGACCTAGATCTTTTCCCAAGCAAGAAAACAATACAAGAAAAACATGAAACCCCCCCACATCCCTAAATTTGTGAATGGAAAAATAAACTAAAATTTCCTTTCCTCTCTAAAACCATCCCTAAACAGCAGGTCTCATGTGTAACATGGGACTCCGACACCGATTCTGGAGATGATCTCTTTCTTTTGTCATGTCTGCATTCGCTGTAGGAGGCGAGGAAGGAAAACCACCCACGCAGCCACCAAAGCAAGCGAGGGGGGAGAGCCTGGAGAGACGGAAGCGCAGGCTGTAGACCACAAACACGAAGTTCCTGGCTCTGAGGAGCAGTCTGGGCACCAGGGCTTCAGGGCAGAAGCTTCCAGGGCCCACAGCGCTGGCAGCGGCACGTGGGAGAGCTCAGCCCACCGTCTCTCTTCACTGCCATAGCCACAGCCTCCAGGTTTCATCCATCCTCCTGGAGCTTGTAAGGGGAGGTCAAATGAACGAACACAATTCTCTCGGACAAAGTCCGTAGTCAAGGCCGGTGCAGTTGTTGGCAACAAATGCATACTCGTAAGACCGAGAAGAATTTAAACAGCTGGCTCCTTTCCACACGAGATCAATAAAACTGGTAATCCAGCTGCCTCCAGGAAGACGCACACAAGTGCTTCTGGTGCTGCAGGAAAGCCAGAGCAATCTCTTACCCAAAAAAACCAACAAAATACCTAAACGCCAATGGAGGAAATCACAGACTGGACTTGTGCAATTCAGCTTCTTCCCTCCTGCAATTCAGCTTCTTCCCTCCTTGTATCCTTTTTCTTGCAGGAGCAAGAGTCTAATTACTCTTTGGCCTCTCCTCATTTCGTTTCTTGAATTACTTGAACAGAAGTCTACAGTCAAATCACTCTCACAGCCTGCACAGTCCCTGCTCGAGTCAACGCTTGGGTGCTGCTGAATGCGGCATCTGCGCCTGCCATTTCACGTTTGTAGCCTCCAACACTGTCTCACATGAAGTGGCACTGTTCGCTTCAACTGTACGTCACGCAGAACGACTCCTGGACAGAAGCTAGGCACACATACTCCTGCGTTTGGTGTCTAGAGCTCATCTTCATCACCACAGTCCCCCGTGCGTCCCTGCCCCAGCCCACGACTCACCAGTACAACATTCACACTGAGAAAGATGAAAGGGCAACTTCCCATACGAGACTTCCAAACACAGCAGGAAACTGGTGCTGAAACTCTTGCATTACGATTCCTGGAGTGAAATTCAAATAGGAGGCCAGACCAAGACTGCAATCATCATATTTTGGCCAAGCCCTTAATTATAAACTCCCAGTATATTCAGTTATCTCTGCTTATGAGAACCATGGCAATGAACCACCTCAAACCAAAGCCACCTCTACCTTTACCTTTACCACACAGAGCATAAAGCAAACCCCATGATCGAGTACAAACACAGGACTTTGCAACCCATGAAACACACCAAAGATAACACCGAGCACTAACTCCTTGTGCTGCAAAACCCGACAAGGGCCCTTGCCCAGACTCTGAACGACACATAGACACGGGAATGAAGCGAACTTCACCAGAAATCCCTTGAAACATACTGGTAAAACGCCTTTGCTTAGACCTCAGCTTCACGCGGTATTTTTTCCTTACACATACTACTGAATATAAACTTTATGGAGAACGGTGCCTTGGGGAAACATTTTATACTCTATGATGTGGCAAATTATACTGCATAGCAAAGTATGACTTTGCCAATAAAAGACCACAAAATTTGGGCACCCTCCAAGACTTACAGCCCCAGGCCATGAGGTGTGAAGCAACCTCAACCCCTTTTCCCTTCAGTGGGAGAAGATGCTTTCCCGAGCCTCACAAAACCTTTGCCAACTTACAGAAATGGGGCAGCTGTGTTCCAGGAAGGAGGAGATTTTATGCTTACCTCTGTTTTGCTTCCACCCAAGCAAATTAGCCTTTTAAAAACCAAAATAACACAGTGCCGGCCGTCGCTGACAGTACAAAGCCGACCAAGCAGGAGTGAGAGCCCTTACAGGGCTGACACTAGCCAGTTCAGTTACTTTGCTGGAAACAGCTTTGACTCTGTTCCATCTCTCTGTGGCAACCTCCTCTGATGTGGATTTTCCATTCCCCGAGTGGATTATTCCAAATTCAGCACCCGGAAAGGCTCCTCAAGTCCTCCAAGCAAAGCCTGTCTCACCAACAGCTTAAGACCCACAAAAATGACTCATTCCCATCAAGCACATTTCCCTCCGGACAGGTGCCACTCTGTCTCACTTTAGGTTGAAACATCAATTAAAATTCTTACACTAGAAAGAAAACAGCCACGCGGTGAGGTACTCGGCGGACCCCTGCCAACAGAAACACCCTCGGTGTACTCAGTAAACCGAGAACGTGCAAGCCCTGCTCCCGCAAGATTACTTGAGCTGCAGTTTAGACACAGGCATGAGTGTGTATATATATATAAATCTGTATAAATGTATAAAACTGGAAATTATGTGCATCTTACGCTCAAATTCCACAAAAACAGACTACGCCAACGCCATACTCAAATTCCACAGCCAAGGACGCACAAAGGAGCCTAAAAGGCAGCAGTAACTCAGAACTGAGCCTTGTAACGTGTACAATCCACACAGGGACGAGACGGCATCACAAAAAACACTAGGCTGACAATTAAAAACCTAATTTAAAAACAGCAAAACATAGTCAGGATTGAGATCAGTGGTTGCTTAGTATCACCACACAGACAGAAATCAATAACTGCCATTACGAGGTCACTGATAAAAATCTATAGCAACTGAATCAGTCAACTTGAAACCTATTAGCAGCTGTATCAGAAAGAAGGAATCACTTTTTCAATCTGCTAACGACAGCTTCTTTCCTTCGAGATGATCATTTTGTATAAACCCAGCAGAAATCCCTGTGGATCCCCCCTCCCCCCAACAAACAAACTACTCGGGATTTCAAGACACTCTCCAGATCAGCATCGGATAATCACCTGCTTTTCACAATCACCACCGGCACGTCGATGCCAGCACTGACATCAAGATTAAGAAAAATGACACGGGAAGCGAGCGACAGCAGGGACACCCGAGGCACATGCTCCTGTGCCATCTGCACTCCATCACTACAGGGCTCAGCCTCTGTCATTAGAGCTAAACGAGGGGTTGCAGCATCACAGCCCGCAACGGCAAAGCCTACCAACGCGGGGCTTTATCTGCTGAAGACCACAGATCAGTCACCGCAATCAACCAGAGGAGGAGAATTCAGCGAGGGCTTTTTTGACCTTCTGTACATCACCGACCTCTGAAAGTTTGGGAACCCGCACCTGAAGCGCACAGCCTGACAGCGGCACGAAAGGTCAGCCCAGAGCCGCAGCTCAGTCTCTTCATCTGCCGGCAGTAAAAGTCACTGATCATTAACTGCAATAGCTGGCATTTTCTAAGCCTCTGGAATTTTGCAGCTCTTCACCACACTGACACTAAGTACGACAAAATCCCCTGGATTTTAGACTCGGAGCATCTTTCACGTGTATCAAACTGAAATCGGAAGATCCTGAGGATGCTGCCGCTCTGAGCTACATCCGAACCTAGGCACAAGCCCTCAATGTTTTTGTTTGGCTGTTTATTTTCCTTCTGAAAAATACAGTCTTCTGACCGAACTCTGCCTACACCACGCTGGGGCCGTACGGAGCGAAACCCGGTGCTCCCGCAGGGCAAGCGACCACGGCTCCTCGGGCAGCAGCCGCAGACGCCTGCCACCGCGCACCAGCCGGCCTAAGGGGAACAAACA